GGTGCAGAATGCTGGCGGTGGCACATAACAATAATACATATTATTGATCCTTTTAAAATAAGAGTCTGACGTTTCAGCCTCAAAATTTAGTTGTTTTATTTCATATTTTTAGCAGCAGACCACAATCTCATTTAACTTGAAACGTTGTCAAAAAGAATATTCATTTAATCAATACAGAATTCAATAGTATACTAAAGTATTCAATAGCTGTACCCCTACTTACAAGTACAAATGGTATTATTAACTCATTAACTGCCAAGTTAAAGTCGTCATTTTAAATCCAACCGTTCACTGCCAATGACGGCTAAAGTTTTCATTAGCATTTTTTTACTGTGTGGGCATCGGAACGAGCCCCCGCACCATGAGAACAAACATCCCAGCTCTAAAGCTGATCTACATCAGCGTACATCACACGTCACATGATCAGGAAGCAGAAAATCCATGTGTTAGGAGATCGTTTTGGGCCGCTGCTGTACAAAAAAGTGAGACGCGAACCAGAAAAGGTTCTGCTTATCACAATTCGACACAGATTATGAAAGAACAGATAATGCTCGAAACATGTGGATTTTTCCTGATGTAAGAGGTGAGTCTCCGCTTTGTTTTGATAGTTTTGGCGTTGACATATAGCCTGGCCTGCCACATTCGTCCTCTGTTCTGCACAGAGAAAGAGTCTGGTAACTCACAAGCAGAGAGGCACTTGAGGGACGGGACTAATCACCTCAAAAATAACCAATCAGAAAAAAGACGGAAATGTCGAATGTACTGCGTGAGGCTGTAGTTTTTTAGCTGTAGTAAAAACTGGCGTCTGGTGACAGCGCAAACATCTTTTCTTTTTACATTTTTAGAAGAAAGGCTTTTAGCGCTTCTACTTGTTGTGGTTTTAAAGACATTCAAGTCATTTAGACTGGAGGAAAGAGCCACAGTGAACTCCGCTGCTGTCTTTGTTGTTTATGAGAAACTGAGCATCGCTGTGTGTGGCGTCCGCAATGCTGTAGTTTTATAGCTGTAGTCAAAAATGGCGTCTGGCAACAGCGCAAACATCTTTCTGAAGAAACGCTTTTTGCGCTTCCACTTGTTGTTGTTTTAAAGACATGTTCAAGTAATTTAGAACAGAGGAAAGAGCCGCAGGGAACTCCGCTTCAGTCGCCATGTTCGACAAACTCAGCGTTATGTATGTATTTGAACGGGTGCAAATTAATTGGTTTGGGTTTTTGTTTGAACTAAGTCTGTTTTCTTTTACTCTTTCATTGTGTGTGTGTGTGTGTGTGTGTGTGTGTGTGTGTGGTGGTTGGGGGGGGGGGGGGGCAGTAGAAGGAATCATGAGGGACGTTCACAGTTGTGGGGTAATTTTTATTTGTGTAAAGAGCTTTGAGCTGCACTAATTGTATGCAATGAGCTTCATAATTAAAGATTGATTTTGACTGATTGATTAACCCCACAGGTTCTAGTCATATCGGTCTTAAGAACTACAATTGGCCCAGGTGCCAGCTTTGAGCTGCACTAATTGTATGCAATGAGCTTCATAATTAAAGATTGATTTTGATTGATTGATTAACCCTACAGGTTCTAGTCATATCGGTCTTAAGAACTACAATTGGCCCAGGTGCCGACTATAACCAGCCTCCAGCCTTCATGTTGATTATTCGAAATGTTTACCATGAAAGCACCTCATTGTAGCCATACTGGAAGTCTCTGTCCTGACTCTTGCGGACTGGATACACCAGTTGATTCTCATGGAAGTACAGAACCTTCTTCAAACGAGCCAGATCTGGTCTGAGAGACACCAGCTCACACAAATTCAGAACTGAGCTGCTGAACAGAACCCTGCAGAAAAAAATGGTAAAATACAAAATAATCATCTCACAGAGGTCCAGAAAAGATCAGGGGCCTCATTTATAAATCTGGTGCACAAAACAGGGTCTGAAAAGCTATTTTCTACGCAATGTATGTGATTCATGAAGAAAAACATGATGGGAAAATGTGCGCAACTTCAAAGTTGTGTTCTGTAATGTGACGTCATCAAGGAGAGGTGAAATTTGAATGGCTATAGCAAGAGTTTAACCAGTTTGACCATCAAGCATGATGTGAAACACTGCGGTCAATACACTCTTAAGGCTTCTCCAACACTGGCCAAAAACAAAATTAGCTGGAACCAAAGACATATAACGGCATTACCCTCAAGGCCAAAAACAATAACACAACTAGAACGAATGCACGCAGACAATGGGAGAAGCAGAGCACGCGACTACAACCACTAGGAGTACTCTTCATTCACCCAGAAAGCACTTGAAATCCCTTATGTGAGAATAGTTTAGGTCCCAGAAAATGCTAAGGGAGAATTTCTGACTGATGGCTAACCCATCTGTAGCTTGCAGAAAAAAACATTGTGGAAACCAAAGGAGGAGCCAAAGTGAGTGACACACACACTCACACAGTTTACAGTTTATTGTGGACAGTCTAAGGCACACCTGTACAGTATTCATCAGCCCCTTGATAAGCCACACCTGTGAGGTGGGATGGGTGTTTTGTACATGTAGACAAAGTTTCAGATGTTTGAGAAGGAGCAAAAACAAGAGTTGCGTTTATATTTGGTTCAGTGTAGCAACGTTTCCACACACAAGAACAACATGAAGAAAGCACACAATGTATATATTAGTTCCTACTCAGAACTGTGTGTAAGTACGGTTGATAAATGAGGCCCCGGGAAATGTGTTTTCTATGTAAGAAAATTAGTTTATATAAGTAAATAAGTAAATTGTTTGTTGATCTAAAGCACAGCTTTAGTAAAGTCCAGGAGAAACCTTATGAAAGCCCTGTGAGGGACGTACCTGTACGATGAACAGGTGGGAACAGTCTGGCTGAAGAACAGCGCTGAGGTTCTCGCTCTCCAGTGCCATTTTTTAGCCGGCAGAGTGAAAACAGAGCAGCTGGGGATGTTTTCCTTCAGCAGGTCAATCAGCTGTTTGTGAGAGCCGCCATAGAACGGCTCCAGCAGCAAAACGCAGGGGGACCCACAGACCTGCAGGAGGGATAAGAACCATCAACTCCACTGGTACCATCAAGGCCGATTTAGGTGTCATGTTCCAGGCCTGGTTCAAACTCTGATATCCACCCTGTTATCTGAAATCGTACGATTTTAGTTTCTTACTAGAGTTTATGGTCTGCTTTGAATCTACTAATTTTTATTATTGTTATAAGTGTTGTTCATCTCCAGAACTCACATTTAGCTGGAATTAAAAACACCTGACTGCTGCTGATAAGTGGGGAGGGTTGTCAACCAGGTAGTTGGGTGGGGCTCAAGGTTAGGACTGGACCTGTCTTCAGTTCGTGTGTGTTACCTACATGTGTTTTATCTCCTACTCGTGTGATGTGAAGCTTTACACACACACACACACACACACACACACACACACACACACACACACACACACACACACACACACACACACACACACACACACACACACACACACACACACACACACACACACACACACACACCTACAGGACAGCCTCCAGACGGACTCCACTGACCCTGGAACTGCTGAGCCTCATCTCCTCTCCAGGAAAACCATTGTTAACTCTGCAGCTCTAAACCACAGAAACCAGTAAGTTCCATCTATCTGCAGCACATTGTGTTCCGAGTCCATTATGCTGCGGGGACGTTTCCCAGCCTGTGGCAGGAAGTGGACAGCTTACAGTCCCACAGCTCCCTGTTCTTCCACTGAATCCCCTCCCAGTGATTTCCACTTAGCTGCCCACAATGGGCCTAATGCAGCTGCAGCAGCACTCAGCGCTCGCCCACAGACGGCTCAATCAGCCCTATCTGCAGCCTGCAGCGTGGCTACACACTCATATCAGCAGCAGGAAATGAGACGCTTCTTCAACCGGAGACAGATACCGAGCAGTCGCCTCCACGCAAATGTGCCAAATAAAGATCTGATTGGAAAAAGTAGCACAATGTCAGTCATTGTGCTAAAAAGGCCCAATCTGTTTCCTGAATGCCTCAAAATAATGTGAAATATGAAAATGTGTGGAAGAATTAAGTGATTAAGTCCTGATGTCCTTCTGGCTAACTGCAGAGTTCACAGCACCACAAACCAGAACTAAAGTCTTCTGCCATCAGCAGAACTTGCTGAGATGAGAACAATAATCACTTCAACCAAAACCAGGAGTGGTCCTGCAGGTGGACACAAGCATGTTTAGACCTGGACCACAGAAGCTACTCAGGTAGTCCTACTCCACCAGGATGGAACATCAAAATGTGCCATACTTAGCCAAGCTCAGTCTAGAGACAATGGAGGAGATTCCAGGAGACAGCCAGATACTCCAGTAAAACCGGACAGGGCCTTTAAAAGACTTCTACCCATCAGCAGGACCAGGATCCATCAGGAGAACCAGGATGATTCCATGGGACCTACACTGGGCCACTGTTGTGACTGTCTCTGACCAACCCACTAGAAACAGACTCCATGAGGGTCTGAGTTAGGGTTAGGGCACCGGCCCCATGGAGCTCACCATCATTGATCAGAATTAGCATGTCTCCCTGTGAGGAGCAGAGGCTAATGAGTCATAGCTGCATGCTTCTTTGGAGCTTTCATGTCGAATTAAGAAAACTTAAAATGGGAAACTAAAAGTCTTCAAGACCATCAAGACCTGAAGTGTCCATCACACCAAGAGCCAGCTGAGATGTCTCAGGCATGTTCTGCTGAGAGGCCACTCACCAGTCCAACCAGGACACAATGGTGGGTTTTTGTCTCTAAAGTTGTCGTGGAGAAGCTGGGGGACACAGCTAAGGAGAGGACAGTGTGGCTTCCTAATAGGGCTGCTGTCCATGAAACCCAGAGAAGATGAAGAAGAGGATAACTCCTGAGAGGGACAATGGCAGTGGCCGGTCGCCATGTTTGATGGGTCTCCATTTGCCCCCACTGCATTAATTTCTGCTGAGGAAAGTGCTTACCCAACTAAAAAACACATGTTATCATGCTTTTTCACAAAATCAGACACAACCCAGCAAACATTGACATGACGGCAACAACGTGGTGTCCACGGCCAAAAATGGTCTTGGTAGGACGGCTTAAAAAAATTGTAAGAGAAGTTTTCCTAAATATCTATTCAGATATATTTCTACATGTCTACAGTTACATGTATAATTGTTATTTTGGCAATTTGTTACGTGTAGTTCAACATAAACCAACCCAGCAAATAATGGTCCAACGCCAACGCCATGTCCACGGCCAAAAACTGTTGCTGTAGGATGACTAAAATTGGTAAAACATACGTAACTAAACATTTCTAAAGAATCCATTCAGATTAGACGTCGACCGATGTTGGTTTTTCTATTGCCAATACCGATATGAGGCGGTTGTGGTCAGTCAATGGCCAATAAGTGCTGCTGATTTTGTGGGCTGATATCTCTATAGCACCTAATCAGATTGCTTAATTATCACTAATAACTGTGGAAGCACAGGATTTCTGAACCTAATCTGTTTTAAACACTGAATTTAACCAACAATTGAATCTTAATGTAGTCACTGCTCAGTGGTAAAATCAAACATTTAACAAGATTAATAAAAATACCAATAAACTGACCAAGTATTAAATATACAAAACAGGTTTCAGAGCATTTATTAAGCAGGTGTTTTATAGGGATGTACACATTTACATGTAAGTATAAATAAATGCACCTTTAGAATAGAAAGACAGATCCTACAGTGATGTAATAACATTTAAAACCGCTAGGGGGTGCGTGAGGTGAAAAGTGTAATGGCTGCGGAGCTCAGAGAAGTCTGTCATGTCACCATTAGCGTAGCCAGAAACTCATTTGTGGGTGGGCCTAAGAAAAAGTAAGTGGGCCCAATAAATGCAATTGAAAACAAGTATATTTTGCTTGTGTGTGCGTGTGTGTGTGTGTGTGTGTCCTCCGCATGTGCCCTAGCTTCATAATAATAATGCGCTCCGAGCTTCAGCACTCTGACCTGCACACGCTGTTAATAGCAAGATATGTTCCGTATTTGATCATTTTTAACGGTGTTGGAGGAATCTGAAGGTGGTGAGTCATTCTGGCAGATTGTAATTAACACCTGTCTCATGCAGGTGTTCTGACATTGTAGACTCAGAACATTGTGGATGTTACTAAATAAATGAAGAAATGATTCCCATCTGAGCATTTTAGCATTATTATATTATTATATTAGCACACTGACTGTGGGACAGCATTCTAACAGCGCGCTGAAGATCTGAAGTTCTGAGTGCGTCTGTCGGAGGTCAGACGGGATCCAGCAGAACCACGGCTCATGGGTGCACATGATAAATGATAATGATAAATGACCTGCACTTGTATAGCGCCTCTCAGAGTAAGGACTCCAAAGCGCTTTACACTATAGTGCATCATTCATATGTGAGCACATCTGGGCTGGGCATAAGTAATTTTACAACATTGGCTTTAATAGCGCCAATACAGATGATGGTGCAGTTTTACACGGCTATCATTGAGTCCATCCTCACCTCCTCCATTGCTGTGTGATACGCTGGAGCCACAGTGAGGGACAAACATAGACTGCAGCGCATTGTGCGCTCTGCTGAGAAGGTGATTGTTTGCAGCCTTCCATCTCTCCAGGACCTGTACGTCTCCAGAACTCGGGGGCGTGCAGGTCGGATAGCAGCTGACCGTTCTCACCCGGGTCACAGACTTTTTGAGCCGCTTCCCTCAGGCAGGAGGTTACGGTCGATCCGGACCAGAACCTCCCGCCATAAGAACAGCTTCTTTCCATCTGCCGTTAGACTTGTGAATAGCTTATAAATACACAACCATGTTCATCTTCTGTACTCGACATAACGTCACGTTATCGGCCATATTACCATTACCTGCCTTTTTTTTATATAGCAAAGTTTTATGCTAGTTTATTATATTTTATTCTACTTTATTCTATTTTTAATTATATTATACATGTTATATGTAGCACGTTAGTACCGAAGCAAGTTCCTAGTTTGTGAATTGTTTGTTCACTAACAATGGCAATAAACTTTTTCTGATTCTGATTCTGATTCAATAACGAGACGTGGTGACTGGAGCGGCTCATGGAGCTGTGCCACACACACACACAAACACACACACACACTGATTCAACAAGCGCACGCTGCGCTGTGCCGTCAGACTGAATGCAGAAATGAGCGCTGCCTCCTCTGTGATAAAAACTTTTAAGAGGTTTTATAACAACATTTTTCACTCAAGGTCAAATTAAGATATTAGCTTCTATTTTGGGATGACGTGTTAAAATCGAGTCCGCTCCAGCCAGTGACTCCTCATGAACCTGACCACAACTCATGTTACTGCAGCATTTATTCCAGTCTGCATGGCAGCGGATCACAGATTCAGCCACACCATAAAACAGCAATAAGTCGGTCTGAGGCAAAAGTGAACCTCATGGCCATGGACGTAATTTTCACTTTAGAAGTGGGGGGGACACAGGGGGGGTATCTTTACAGGCTTCAACACAAACGGTTGCTTTCCGCTTGGTCCTAGAGCTCAACCAGTGTCAATTTAATATAGTGTAATATTGTTTTTGGATGGTAAAAACTACAGGGGTCAAAACTTGACTTTGGAAAAAGTGGGAGGGGGGACATGTCCCCCCCCAAAATTACGTCCATGCTCATGGCTACATCTTTTCCATATTTTCCCCTATAGACATTTGATTACGCTAGGGCTGGGGTAAACGATTATTTTTAAAACGATTATTCTGATGATTATTTTATCAAATAAACTATTCTAATGACTATTTAGACAATTAATCTAATGATTATCTTTTTATTGCACAATTAATAAAAACCAAAAAATCTCTAGTAAATTCCTCAAAAAATGTTGATAAATTGTTACTGTGAGAGAATAAACACTACAGGCCTTCCATTTTGTATAACACTGCTTTTATTGTGTTGGTTGGTTATGTTCTGTTGACGTGTAGAACTTGGGAGTGCAGGCTGCTGCCTGAGAGGTGGTTGAAGATGGAGTGTCTCCATACTGCTTTGTTTTGGTCACTTATGTGCATGAGGCGAGTGGTGTTACGACCCTTCCTGGGGAGTTTGGCTCATGTGCAAAAAGGAAGGGACAATAACGGGATTTAAAAGTTAAAATGATGATCAGGTTTATTTACAACTACACAAAATCATAAATCTTTCCATCCCACAGGTTTGGAATAATAAAACTAATTCTGCCTGTGGGGAATTAAAACAAAACTACAAATAACTAGGGATGCCCCACTGGGCAAAGATTACTGGGTTCTGGACCAAAATAAGGATCTCCAAAGGTCCAAACTCTAAACTGGGTGGTTAAACCAAACTCAAGGTGATCTTTTAAACTAAACCGAAAACCCACGACACTCTAAATGTAATAAAAGGGAGATCTGCACCACAAAAAAGATGAACTCTAAACCAAAACGTAACAGCTTATCCAAACGCAAGAACCTGTTAGCGAAAATGCTAACAGTAGCTTTTCTAACGTTAAGTTCAAGTTACCAAGTTTAAATAAACCAAAAACACCCAGCAGCAAACAGATCAGC